CTATTAGTTACTGACACATTCTAATACAAGATCCTTGTTCCTGATGTAAACATACCACTTGATTTCTCATGATACAGACAACTTGATACTGGATCTATCTGTGTAGGCACTGAGTGCAATGAACAATTTTTGCTTTCACTGTACCATCTATATATGGGTTTACCTGATGCAAAAGAGAGACAATGGGATGTGGTAGGAGGCCTCCATCACCAACCTCAACAGTCTGATTCCCTCTTCTGAACAAACCAATCCATGGAAGTTAGGATTGCTCCCTATCCATGTTGGTAATAGAAACTGGGGAGCAGGCCAACATATTGTAGCACTTTAAAGACTAACAGTTTTCAATTCTGTGCCAGCTATTGTGGGACAAGTTTCTCAGGAAGTGGATGTTGACTTAAAAAAGCTCATATTGAAACAAAACTGTTAGTCTTTGAAGTGCAACAATATTTTGCTCTTTTCTTCATTTTCTTTTACCAACATGCTGAGACAGATTAACACACTTACTTTGGAAATCCTTATGCATATAAAGTATATGCATAATAGCCTATGCCACTGTACATCTATGACAGACAGCACACACAGAAGGGCGAATGTAAATATCTGCACAACATAGGAAGACCAAAGAGACTGGGAAAAGAACCAGAGAAAATAATTAGAGAAGCCAATAGCTTGGGGGCAAACCAAGAATTAATAGTACTGGAATACTGTTAACTTGCTTTCCCACTACAGTCCTGATCTGCTTCTTTGTTATCAAAAAGAAAAAGACGAAAGTACTGCAGGGGAGTGGGAGTAATAACTTCAAATGAAGTAGTGTAATATTAGCTTTATGATGTTGTGAAAAGGCATCAGGAAAAAGAGAAAGACTGGACACAAGATGAATATACTCAATAAAAGAAGCCATGGCTTTTAGTTTGCAAGATCTAAGAAGGGCTGTTAATGATAAAATCATTTGAAGATCATAAAATCATAGGGTTGCCACATGTTGTAGATTAGAGATGAGCACAAATTGAGTTTTGTACCCATCTCACAGCTGCCACACATTCCCTCCCCCCCCCAGATGGCCCACTCACTCACCCCTTGCCAACAGGGTCCTCCTTCTCTGACAGCGGCCAGGCTTGGCCGGGGGAAGGAGCTTGGGCTGCCCTTCCCTACCTCCCCCGGCAGCTGACCCCTGACTGTTTAGGGAGATTCCCCTTCCTGCCTCCTCATCGGAATGGTCAGCTGCTGGAGGAGGCAGGGAAGGGCAGTTCCCAGCTCCTGCCTGGTTTGGCCCACCACCTGAGAAGAAGGGGAGGGGGGAGGAAACACATGGCAGCTGTGAATGAAGCCCCCTGACTCAACTGATGCCCATCTGTAGTGTAGTGCAAATTCATAAATGCAGAGTTCATCCAAGACACTCTCTCTCTCTCTCTCTCACACACACACACACACACACACACACACACACCTGCAGCACATTCACATGCACCAAATTATGCCATAGCTGCAATTACCAAGGGCAGGGTAGGAATCCATGGGGAGGAAAGAGAGAAGCTGCCATCCAGAGATCACCTTCTTTCCACTTTTTGCAAAGCTTGTGTAATGCAGAGACAATGGCAGCTGCCATGACTTCCTTTACCCCACACACTTCAACCCTGCCCCTTCTCTTTGTCCCAGGCTCAGCAATAGGAAAGTGCAAAACACACACGAGGAATTGGGTGGGAAAGAAGAGAAACTGGATTTTCCAAGCAGCCCAAAGAGTGGGTTACAGAATGGCTCCTTTTCTGGGTTTTAATTAACACCTTGCATGGGCACCAGGACTGGGACATGGAAACATAAGCAACCCCAGACCATCCTAATCAAGCAAGCTGGCAATCATCACCTGGTATAGAATGTAAGGTGGGACAAGATTTCTCCCACACACAAAGGAGAATGAGGTGGGGGAGGTGGAATATACATCTCTCTATGAATCTCTATGTATCTCTATGAAATGCAATGGGAGGGAGGCTTTGAAGGACTGGCCAGTCTGAAAAGACATGAGTCAGTAGATTCCTGATGGGAGGAGACTGAAGGAAAAAGATGGAGGGAAAGATCTGACTAATAGGGCCAATAAGGAGGATCCCAACTTCAGAAGACTTGCTGGTGCTTCATACTCCCTTGGAGATGCACAACTACACCACTGGTTGCCATAACTCAAAACAGACAGGACAGGACATAACAGCAACAGTGCTAGGACATGAAAGCTGAACCCGTTGAAAGAATAATTTCTGCAATACACAACTACACATTTGGAAGGATAATCCATAGAACTGAGCCACATCAACAGAATATTGCAATTTGTATCCATCTGGGTTAATGCTTTCTACATGGAAAGTATTACAGCCTTTCTTGGCTATCATTATAATGCACTCCAAAGATGAGAGAACCGATGATGGACTGAAATAATAATATTGGAACGCAGGGATTACATATATGAAATCAATCAGAAGGAAATTCACGCCGGAATTATAGCTCAAGGGAGACTTGAAAGAAAGAAGGAAGGGGGGAAAAAAAGGAAGGACAAGCATGTTTAGATTATTTCTCCTTTTATCAGAGGCTTTGGACCTGATCCAAAAGGACTTACACATCATGACCCACAAAATCCATGTTTACACCCCATTCCAAACGTGCTGTAGGTCTGCCCACTTGTACTATTCAGTTCACATCTTTCGCCATCTCAGAGGAGATCACAGTACCTGATGCCATGCTTTTAATGGCTAACATAACTCAAGTCGAGTTCACATGCCCTCACAAAGAAAGGCCTTGCTGGACGCAGGCTTTCCTTTGTCAAGGAAAGGTCCGGTGCAGCAAAGTCAGCTGCCTGACCAGTGCTTCTCCAGACAGCGCCTCAGCCAGGCACTTCCCTTTGCTTCTTCCTTGCTTTCCCCACATGGGTGAAGTGAAGGGAGAATGAAGTAAACTCAGTCAGAGCTTTGGGAGTTATTTGAATCCCACCCTCAGGAATTCAGGAGACTCGTGAAGCACTAGCTTTGCTTCTAGTTAATTGTGTGGGGAAGGAAAGAAAGGAGAAAAGGCATGAGGCTCTGTCTGTCATTCTCCCTCAAAAGAGGCAGGGCTTTGAGGAGGCAAAGGGATTTTGAGAGAGGGGTAGGGCCCTTCCCCTGATTTGGAACCACAAACTGAGCAGCTTTGAGGTATAGATATGTGTGCAGTACCTGTCCTATAGGTCACTATTATGTTCAATCTTCTGGTTTTCAGGAGCTGCCCCTCCTAGAGAGATTGAAAAAGCTATCCTATACATGCCATTGTCAGTCCCCTGATCTGACATAAGCATTGCCAAGTTTTCCAAAAAACTGTTAGAATATGAAACACTCTGCTTCATAAAAACTAAGGTAAGGCATTGTGGATATTAACACTGGAAAACAGATTACAGCTAGACTGCCTTTATTCGTATTCCTTGTGGTCTGAAATCCACTGTGTGCCTCCTCCAGCTCCTATCACAGTGAATCTCAGGGCTTTTATGCACCTTAGGAAAATTACAGGGTGTACTGGTATTTCTGGTATCAAACATCAAGAACATCTTTGCATGCAGTAGTTGACCTAGGTTTCCCAGACATTCATCTTGAGGAACTGATAGATTCATGAGCAAGCGTGTATCACATACCCATGCAATATGTTTGCTAATGTGTTCTTGCAACAATTGTAAAGTGTGAAACTGCCTCTTTAGTTGATTGAAAAAGAGTTAAGAGGAAAAATAAAATCTTCATTTGGATTACAGCCAATATGGCCATCCTTTGAGATTCTGAAAATCGTAGTCCAAATAATGAACTTTTTGCTATCCTTGCTTCCAAACAAACATTTATGCAAAAACTCCAGATGTTATTCTCCTGTCTTTAAAAAAAAAATCTTCAATTTGGAAAAATGAAGCTATGCTATAAATACCTGACAAAGCACCTGTGTATAATCACACACAGAGAGATGCATGTACATCTAAAATAAATCTGCCTGTTTTCTCCACACAGTGCAGATTGGGTTGCATCATTAAACCATCAAGGGGTGAGCTATAATTGAGGGATCTCCATAGCAATCAGCACACTGGAAGCCTCTGCACTCATAAATCTGTGTAGCTGATAATGAAAGGATGTTTTAATAAAAGGCTGAGCAAGGACAGCACTGCAGGAACATACTGCCTTTGGTCGTTAGTACAAAGATAAATAAAAAAATTGGTGAGATAAGGTAGATACCAGAAAGAATGAAAAATCCCACACAATACACAAGCAAGAATCTTTACATGTTGACTGGAAAAATCCCTGCCGTTATCATGAATGGTGTTGCATAAAGAAAGCTAGTGTAGTGAAAGACCTGCTGGCTTGTTTGTTTTACCATCAATGGTTAAACAATTATAGGCTTGTTTGTTTCACCATCAATGGCCAAGGTATTTTACAGAAAGATGGTGATCAAGTCCCTACCCTGAGGAGCATACATGCACGAACAGATCAATGGGGCCCCACTGGTGAGGTACAAGCCACCCACTGTCACGAGTGGAAGAGATGATCACCACAGAAGTGTTCCCAAGTTTAGCACATCCCTACAGAAGTAAGAGGCAGCTGTTAAGCTGTATGACAGAACAGTATCAGGCACAACACAGCCATTGGCAGGGCAGCCATTTCCTACCTGCATAGCCCCACCCACAATTCTATTTTTCAACCACTGTGAAATATAATGAAAAATCAGGACTCTCTCTCTCTCTTTTTAAAATAGCAAACCCCTTCTCTTTCTAGTACAGAGTAATTGTTGTCTACCTGAGATCGAAGAAGTCTATTGGATTATAGCATCTATAAATATTACTATGTTACAACAGAGATTATTCCCGCAGGTGTCAAACACACTGGAAGGGGCACATAAAGATTCATCATGTGCATAGGAACACATTTCAGCTTTCTCAGCCTGTTATACAGAAACAACAGCAGCTGTCAATGCTCTTGGTTCACATCGGCTCTTGACTCCCCCCTTTCTCTTACCTGGTCTCTTCTGTAGCAATAAACAAACCATCATCGGGAGCACTGAGCCAGTTTTGTCTCTGCCTCTTGAGCAACGGCGTAACGCTTGGCATAAGGTCACTTGTGCCGACTTGTAAAGTTTTACCATTAGTTGTATAGAAATCATGCGCAGCTTGCTGAAAGCATTACCAAAACAAACAAACAAGAAGGTTTTAGAAAACATAGGCTACAATCCAGTGGAGAGTCTTCTTCTGCCCTGGTGTTCTTTTCAGGACAACCAACTCCACCCACCTTGTTCCCACATGCGTTCCAAACTGCATGTGAAAGACCGTGCCATTTGCAAACACTTCTGATGAACCTCCACAATTCTGCCCTCATCCTAAACCTGGCATAGGCGATGTGTGGAACCTGCCAATATTGTCGTACAGAAGCTCCCATCGTCACAGACCACTGGCCATGCTGGCTAGGACTAATGGGAGACCAGCAAATACGCAACCTCTGATCTAGAAAGGAAACACCTTTAGCTCTGTAAGCCACCAAGTCCCCCATGGCAGTTTTTATAAAATTTACTTGCAGCATGCTAGGCTTTCCTGTCATTGGGTACTCTTTGCCAGACTGAAAAAGAAAGGTTTTGGTAAGAATGTCACTATCTGACTCACATAAACTCCTAGCCAAACTTAACAAAGGTAAAAATGCATTGATTTACTGTTCTTGCTCCTCCCTCCCTTTAATCATATCCATTAAATTTGCCTCGTAATGTTAGCCATTAATGGTTACCAGTGAGGTCCTTAGTGCCTCTTTTGTCTGTTTTCTTCTGGCAGGAAATGTGATGCTACCATGGCAAAGCACAGTGTGAGACGCTGCATGCATTTATGGACTGTTGCCTGATCTAGATTTCAAATCCTAGCTTTGGTCATGGTGTGTGAACAAATGACAGTCTCGCCGCTCAGATCACGGCTCTGTGGATAGAAACCTAGCTTCTTTGCAAAACACTGAACAAACATTTCATGTACTTTTTTAAAGCCACAGGATAACAGATCCATCCCCTGCTGAGAAACTTGATCAATATATAACTCCAGACAGAAGCTTTTTGAAGTTGATGGAAAATATGGCACTCCCATTCTACTACCTTTTCTAGTAGGATTTCTGGTGCAAAACAAAAATGCAGTTTGGTTAAAAAAGAAACAGTCACTGATGGTCCTTTCCCCCTAAAAGCTTGGAGAACGTCGTAGAGTCCATTTGCCTAGTCATTTGTCCTAGCCACAAAAGAATAATCTCATTTCACCACTGCATCACCTCATTCAAAATGATGCATCAGAGGGTTCAAAATGAGCTGCATCAGCTCATTCAAATGATATTTTCCCTAAACGGCAAAAAGCAAAAAAGTGTGCTTCTTATACACAGCCCACAGCCCTTCAAGCACTCTGGGCGGTTTACAAGTTAATTATGCAGGCTACACATTGCCCCCCCCCCCCATGAGCTGGGTACTCATTTTACCAACTTCGGAAAGATAGAAGCCTGAGTCAAGTTCAAGCCGGCTACCTAGGATTGAACTCTGGGTCATGAGCACAGATTTGGCTGCAGTACAGCAGTTTAGCCACTGTGCTATGAGGCCAGTTCTTTGATAGAAAACTAAAAGGAAATATTCACATATCTGTCATCTTTTTCAAAGGATTGAAATTATATTCTGGCCCACCCTTTATGTAGCAAGTCCAGCATAACACGTGCCTCATAAATATGTGGCAAAAAAATGTTGTTCTTTTTAAATTAAAGGAGTTGCTTATAGAACACAGAGGGTATTATGTGTCATTGCCTCAAATGCCATGAAGCGCAAGAGGGGTGTTCGTTCGTTCATTCTACTGCTAACTGCTGCACCTGGCAGTCCTTTCAGAATGTCTGTGGACTGCATCTCAATTGTCTTTGTATTCAAACATATATCCATTTTATTTTACATCAAATGCATTTTTTTAAAAAAACACCATAAATATCAAATTACTTATTAAAAAAACAAAACAAAACAAAAGGTAGTCAGCATCAGCCAGGAAAATATATATATAAGGATTTCAGGAGGTGGAAAAAAACTATTAAAGATCAACAAAACACAGTGCAGCTGGACCCAGCAGGAGAACAAGAAAACAGCAGAGTTAAACCCAACGTGAAGTGCCTCTGAAATAAGGTTCTGACTCTTAATCCCCAAAGTGAGAGGGCCCATGAAATGACAAATCATGGGCTTTGACTCATCACCTAAAAATAAAAAGACTAAATTGTACCTTTACACCTGATATAACCATCAGCAGGGATATTGTTAGGCAGTGTAGTGTTTAGCCTGGATAATTAAATTGTAAACCGCTCAGAGAATGCTTTAGGCACTATTGGGCAGTATATCAGTAGCACATTTTGCTTTTTTGCTTTGAGTAGTATAGGAGAACCAGAATCTGGCATCTTAACCAGTTACAGGCCAAGGCTAAAATAGCCAGGTAATTATTATTAATAGTTACAGATTTTAAAAAGTAAACATTTGCTTTAACAGTTCTGAAAAGTAACTAGAATTCTTGTTTTCAATTACTTTTTTTTTTAAAAAGTGCCTGACGATTACAAACTTCTAGTAAGTGGCACAAAATCCCCTTCCCTCCTCTTTGCAATCATCTCATGACCTCCAGAAGAGCACAAGCCAGCAGCAGATGACACAGTGTGAGTCAACACTTTCACCATGTGATATTTCTCTTTCACTGTTGAGTGAAACTACACACCTGTAACTGTAAAAGTAACTTAAAATATAGTTGCACTGTGAGAGAAGTGAAATTATTTCTTCCCAGTTTACAGGCATAATATGGTATAACTATATTTTCATCATTAGAAAATAGAAATATTTATAAATATATTAGGATCACGGTATCCATGGCCAATCGGTTTGTAGCTCATCCCACCACCCCCATGGAGCTGGAAATAGCAGATGAATGAAGCACTTCCAGTTTCTTTGTTTTCTTTGTGGATGGTTGAGAGAGGAAGCTTAGCCCAGTCTTGTCAAAGGACTGGGTTTCCTGCCCTCCTGTTTGCAAAAGAGGGTTTCCTGAAACTCACAACTGCCACCATATTTCACCCCCACACACACACATGTGGCTGCTCCATTTCACCAGAAGGTGCTTCCCTTGGAAACGTCAACGACGAGAGTATTTCCATGAAGCTACCTATATATAGCATTGTTTCAATCTAGTGGCCAGTCCTAGTAATATACCTTGAGAATGTTATTTCTGTCTTTTTGTTTTTTCAGGCTGCAGATAAGTGAAATCATAGGTACTGATTATGTGGATATGGCTGTCCTACTGTTTTGAATTATTTGTCATTAATTACTTCCAAGCTCTGTTTTAGGAACCCTGCAGTGTTCTAGAGTCCAATCACCAAGGGCATACATTCCAGGAAAGGAAATAGTATAAAATGAAATGATGGCACCCCTCCTCTCCCTTTGTTGGCTTAGTGATACAGATTTACTAGGAAAAGTGATACTGTATTTTTCCATGTATAAGATGCCCCCATGTATAAGATGCCCCCCACTTTTCTAATCGAAAATTCAGAAATCTAAGTGGGGCTTAGCAAGTGTAGGGGGAAAGGGATCAAAGCACTGCAGGATCGCTTTGATCCCTGCTTTCCCCTCCACTTCCTTTTGTTCTCTCCTTGGCTTACTTCCGCGTATAAGACAACCCTTAATTTTTTGTCTAAAAATTTTAGACAAAAGTATAGTCTTATACACGGAAAAATACAGTAAATATTTTAAAAGCTGTACCATAACTCACCTCATCTGTCACACGAGTGTGGCAGTATTTACAAACATTTTCATTTATTTATTTGTCCATTTTATTCTTAATTTCTTTATTCTTTCTAGCAAGAGAGAACTTTAGGCAGATACCAATATCAAAACACACCAATAAAACGAAGAGCTGGGATCCTATTCCCAGCTAGAGAAGACACATTTCCTCAATGTTAGTTCTTGCCACATGACATTTTTATAGACACCTGTATGAAAATAATATTTGTTTTAAGCTCTGCTAAGTGTCTAACCAAGGTGCCTTTACATTATCAGATGTTTTAAATGGATATATCTAACAGATTAATTAGCAGAACCCAAATTGGGGGGGATAACATGTTTAGAAAGTACAAATATCCTAGATTTATATCTTGTAAGACACAGTTCTGAATTACTAATTAATTACTAATTCAGAAAAGCAGAAGTTACCTTAAGCATACAGCAAAACAATAATAAACATATAACAAAACAGAGCACAGAGTGAGTTCTGACTCCTGTCCTCTGAAGATGCCGGCCACAGAGACTGGCAAAATGTTAGGAAGAACAATCTTTAGAACACGGCCAAAAAGCCCGAAAAACCCAGAGCAACCAATAATATTTATATCAAACTAATAACAAAGTTAATCCCTTACACAAAATGCTTATTAAAGACTGCCAAATCTGAAATTATTACAGCCACCAGTTGTGTATGAGACAGCTCATCTAAGAAATCCAGTGGATTCTATTTAAAAAGGCCGGTAGAGATATAATGATGTTGTGATGACATAAACATGAGCAGAACTCCTAATCAACCAGGAAACATGCACAGGAGCAGCAAACGTGATCTAATCATAATGCTAACATCTGGTATTTGACCCCAGATAGATCTGTCACTGAGCTATCGTGTAATTTTGCAGCAAACAGCTAACATTCTGATTCAGGCTCTGTCTAAAAGGAAAGATCAGACTTACAGATATTTCTTTGGAACAACAATTGTGGTATGAGCAGCTGGAAGACAGATGGATTGCAATCTTATACACATTTACCTAACAGCAAATCCCATCAGAGAAATATACTAAAAACCAATCTTTAAGCATCTGTTCCATAAGTGGACAGCATCCCCCCCCCGTACAAATGAGCAATGGTGCAGGTGTTTATATAAACACTGCATATGCCACTCTGCATTGTAAAAATTCTTCTATAATCCTTAAAAAAATATGCGGGCTAAATTTAATGGCTGGTCCCAACTAGAGTTGACCCATTGAACCAATCAGTCTAACATTAGTATTGATTTATGAAATACTACTCCTCTGTCTCAGACAAACCATTGGATTTTACCCCATTTGTGTAATTAGCTGATGGAATTCCCTAACAAAAGATGCCACTACATTAGATAAAGTTAATAGAGGATGTAACAAATGTACAGATCATGTCTATTATTGGCTTGATGCTATTACGGAAATACCGAACCTCAGAAATACAGGCTCAGAAGGTGTATGACAGCGAGTACAAGCTGTTGGGGAACAATATTTATTTATTTAGTGCACTTATATCCTGCTGACTGCAGAGAGTACAAGCTGTTGGGGAACAATGTTTATTTCTTTATTTAGTGCACTTATATCCTGCTGACTTAGTGCAAAGCACTACTCTAAACAATTTAAAACAAACAATGAAACAGTAACCCATCCCCTCACAAACCAACGTTAAACATCCCTAAATGAACACATACAATAATTAAAAAAGAAAGCTCAAATGATGGCGGAATCAGGGAAGACAGATAGGAATTAAGAGAGGACGTCTTTAAACACTTCTTGGAACAAAGCAGTGCTTTGTATCCTTTTAAAGGATAGGAGGGAGGAGGCCTGTGTACTTCTAAGAGGAGCCCATTCCTTAAGGATGGGGCCACAAATTAGAAAGGCACAATTTCTGGTGACAGTCTTCTTTGCCTCTCTTGGCAAGGCGACCCAAAGAAGCAATTCCTATGAAAAACAGATAGGACAGGCTGATGTTCTGACAGAATGACACTCCAACAAGCCCTGTTTCTGAAGGTTTCCAACTGGCCACTCCAGCACAGTTGAGACCAGATGGATCTTTGGTCTGATCTTTGTTTCTTAAATAAAGCATTGTTTATTATTTAAGGTCATACCCCACGCATCATAGATCTTTGTTTCTTAACTAAAACATTGTTTATTATTTAAGGTCATACCCCACCTGCTCTCTAGTGAACTCAAGGCAGCATACATGGCTCTCCTTTTCTACAGTTTGTCCTGACAACAACCCTGTGAGGTAGGTCAAGTTGAGAGAGAATGAATGGCCCAAGGTCCCCCAATGACTTTCAAGGGTGAGAACTAGCATCTGGATTTCCCCAGTTCATTTCCATGTTATAACCAGCGTACCACGCTGGCTCGGGAGGAAAATCATTGACCTGATACTTTGCTTTCCTACTGGTCCTAGCCTATGCATCTGTGGAAAATGACCCTTGACCATCCTCAAGGTGGAGGCCAAATCATCCATGAACAAGTTAAAAAGATAAAAGGCCAAGACTCATCCCTGTTTAACCTCCTTGTTACTCACGATCTCTTAAGGCAATTCACCCTTTGGAACAGAGCAGACCTGACAATTGGTAGGAGCATATAACTTTTGGATAAGGAACAGCTTTCTCCTATCCAAGGAGGTCCTTTCAATTTATCCCACAGCCTTGGAATAGAATCCTTGGAATAGAATCAAAAGCCCCTTTCAAGCTATGTCGATCCACCACTTTGAGATGACACAACTTTCAGTTAGGAAATTCAAATATACAGTAGTACTTTTTAGTCCCTTGGAAACAATTTATGGTTTATCTTTGCTTGGTGATCTGAGAAAGAGGTTTCCATGTATGATGTCTCTAGGGCAGAGTTTGTTTTTTTCTTAATTGTGACAATGCCGGTGGGGAGATTCTGGGAATTATAGTCTAAGAAAGTAACTTTTTTTCAAGACTATTCTGATTTTTAACTATGATCACAACCAGGCTCACTTTTCCATTTCTCCCACAGGTATTCAATCTTCTTTTTCTCTACCTCATTTATATCTTTTTGATAGCAGGAAAAAACTGAAATAACTTTGGATACAGTTCCAGTCTTCCCCTAATGGTACTTCAGCTGTTAATCCTTTTTTCATTTGAAGGAAAATAAACTAATAAAAGTATGCAGCTGTAAAGTGTTTGCTTTGACTGGTGAACATTTGTTTGGCTATTCATAATTGGTAACATAATTTTTAAATGGATGAAAATAGCATAATCTTTCTTGATGATGAACAAACATTATAAGGAAGCCACCTCCACTACCTAAAATATTCTTGTGCTGAAGTACAAGAACGCAGATGGATTGTTTGTAAAAAGATTGTTTGGCCTTCTCTGTCAGTTGTCCGAAGAGTTTACAGACAGAAAAAATATATTTGTCCAAGACAACACAATAATAAGCATAAGGGCCGTTCAGAGATTTGAGCCTAACTCTCAAATATTTCTAGAATTTGCTTCATATTGATTCGTACTCAATAGCATGTAAGGAAGAAATCATACTGCAGATTTTCAAAACCATGTACTGTCAGATGAAGACCAAATGTGCACTTACCTTCTAGAAATCCCCACTGAATAATGGTGCAGTTTAAGTATCAATGCACAGCATTACACTCTGTGTATCAAACCATTAACAACCAAAGAAAAGAAGAAAAAGGGGACAACTTACCATCTTAGTTCCATGTGTATGGCTGGAAAGTCCTTAAAAAGAAAAAGAAAGACCACACAATTAGCTCTAGATTAAGTTTTTGCTAAAGATCAGTGTAAATGTTTCCTTTTGGTCTTCCCTGAGCACAACTCTAGAGCAGAAAGATATGAAATGCCAAAAAAAAAAAAAAACCCTTTGGAAAAGATTGCTACAAAGCCTGAAGTATCTATTCAATCTACAGAGGCAACCTCAGCAGCTGTTGGTCCCAGCATGGATGATGGCATGAACTCTACTGATGGAAAGCATTTGTTTTCATTGCTGAGCCCATTAATGGAGAAATGTGATCTGGCCGCAGTGACACATCCTGCCTGGATTACTGTAACACACTGTACATGGCCCTGTTTATGGATGGTGTCAGGAAACTTCAGTGGGTCCAAAATGCTGTAGGCAAATTGCTAACTGGGGCAGGTCACAGAGATCACACAACCCCCTTGTTACAGCAGCTCTACTGTTTTTGAGAGCAGTTCAGAGTGCTGGTTCTAACCTCTAAACAGCTTGGGTCCAAGCTATCTCAAGGACCGCATCATCCCCTTTATGAGCCTGCTCAAGTGTTAAGATCATCGGGAGAGGCCTTTCTCTTTGTTCTACCACCTTCACGGGTGCATTTAGTAGATGTACAGGAGAGGATCTTCTCTGTGGCTGCTCCCAGACTTTGGAACTCTCACACACAGGGGGCTAGGCTAGCCCCATCTTTACTATCCTTCCACATGCAGGTGAGAAAACCTTCCCATTCAGGGAAGCTTTCCCTGAGTGACTGGCTTGCCTTAGTAGGGTTTTTAAATGGATTGTTGCACACTACTGCTTTGAATATGTTCTGATGTCACTTATGATTTTTTAGTACAAGATTAGTTCGATCCTTGTTAGTATTTGTATACTCATTGTTGTGAGCTTTAAATACTGTCTTATAATGATGCAAGCCGCTTTGGGTCCTTTTTAAGGAGAACGGCAGGAAAAAAAATACTTGGAAAATATTTTAAATAAACAAATCTTCTTTACTGTTACTTTTAAAAGTTCAAATTCTTCATCACCTTGTCTGAACATCTGAATATCACACTAGGAGGTTTTCACACCTCTTGCAGTTTGTAGCTTAGCTTAGCTTTATTTTGTGATTGGGCTTTGCTTGCAGGTATGATGGTGCAATCACAATGCTCTGCCTGAATCACACTTCAGGAACTTCAGGAACACTAGCAGATTCCAACTTCAAATGGCAAGCTTTCTGTCACATGCTGTTTGGGCCTCAGATAATTGGCATAATTGCAGAAAGCATGTCAGAAATCTGCAAGTACATTGGATTGCAGCATATGTTTCCACTGAAAATGATGTTGCAGTGAAAAATAAGTTGACAGGAAGAAAAGTTATGCATTAGGCAAGAATATAAAATGTAATGTATGTAGTACAGTAGTCGAAAGTTATGAAATAAGGTAGCTTCAATGTCTTGTTTGAGCAATCCTTAGGGGGGAAAGTATATGATGTAGAGGAGGCATTAAAATGACTCAAGGGGTAGAATACTGGAATTTTGCTTTCCATAGAGCTGAGTTGGGAACTGAATATAGAAATCAGAAAGAAATGTCAGGTGCTTTTCTGTCAGTGAAATGAAAAGAAAGGCATTGGGGAAGGCGAGGGAAGAACAGAACAGACTGTTCTTCCCAGGCTTTTCTGTAATGAAAGTCTATCCCAGCACCTCTAAACTGAGAAAATTAGAAAGCATTATTTTCTGCTATAGGGGATCTAGGGAGACACCGATATGCATCTGAATCTGGACATGGGACTTTCTCCTTAGGAGGTCTGGAGTCTTGGACACTCTAGGATCCAAAGACCTTTAGGGACTCCACCATACTACCCCTCAGAACTTCATTTGGCCTAAAGCCTTAACAGAAACTTATCAGGACTAAACTGTACATTACAGTTAGTGAAGTATTAAAAGAATAATTCCTTAGCTGCAGAAATCATTAGATAGTCATAGCAGGAGCTTCTTGTACCTCTTATTGTCTGTCGGTTATCTTGCTTTGTTTTGTGATTGGCCATCAGGAGGTAAGCACAAGGATCATTTGTAACCATGACTGCTTAGTCACTAAGGTCTGCCTGAATCACATCATTGATGTAGGAATTTGTGGGAATTATATGAAGAAGGTGCAGCAGGCTAGTAAGGTGAATCTATGGCTATGAATCAGGAGTAATCACTCCCAGTATTCATAATAAGGTAAAGGGGAAATATTGTATTTTTTTATTCCTATAATCCCTTCAGATGAAATAGGATAAAACCTAAATTTGTGTGGAGGAGCTCTTAGAGTAGGCTCCTGAGTATGGAAGTGTGCCTTCATGGTCAGCTACGTATTGTCAGCAAAGGAGAATGGAGGAACTAAACTGTCCCCTTTAAGACATAGAGAAGTGTGATCTAAGAAAGACCCATGGTAACAGTCTACAAGTTTTACAGAAAACCGAAGGAGGCCAAGATGCCAAACCCTACCTCACTATATCACCTTTACAGTGGATCCTCGACTTACAGACGGCTCGACTTACAGACTTTTCGAGTTACAGACTTCTCTGGCTGCAAAATTTAGGTTCGACTTGCAGCCTGAGAATCGACCTACAGACCAGAAAAAAAACCCAAATGGAACAAAATTGGAACAAAAACAGCCGGTTACGGGTTTAATCGGTTTTCAATGCATTGTAGGTCAATGGAGACTCGACCTACAGACTTTTCAACCTGCAGCCACCATTCCAATACGGATTAATTCCGTAAGTAGAGGGTCCACTGTAATTTAAATATAACGTTGCAACACACCTAGCCTAACATCTGGAACAATGACAGATTCAGCTTCTAATAACTGGCTGTCATTTCCAGAACGTTTTAATGGAGAGAGTAATGAACCACAACTCAGGTTCTATTCCCTGGCTCTCCCATGGAAATACGTTTGTGTGTGTCTCTGTCTTTTTAAATACCTCACTTGAAAACTATTAGGGCCACTATAAGTCAGTTCTGATTTGAAGGCATATAACAAGAACAACAATAAGTGGCTATATGTAACACATCCCTGAGAAAGGCCCTCAGAGTAAAATTCGCTGGGAATTTTCACTTGCTCAGACTTGTGGGACCTTAATACAAGAAGCAAACCTTCCATCTTCTGTTCCCTAATGTCAGAAAAACGTCTGGAAAAAGGTATAGGATCATAAGGGACGACGGTTGGATTGGCAGAAGGAAGCCTCCAAAATGTATCATGTTCTTGAGAAGAATGGCAGAGTCTGAAGTGACCTCTCAAGCTAATCTGGTCCCCATTTTTATTGTCTCCAGCTAATTTTGAAACTCACTCATCATTAGTTTTATCTTCCTTCATTTCCCTTTTTTTGTGTGTGGTTGAATTGCATTTCTATAAGTTTGCATTATCCTGCTTAGTGACTGTTTTGTCAAAAGGAAAACTCTGTAAACAAACAAAACAAACTCTTAAAATTGTGAGGGGTAACGGTTACACAAGCTGACAAAAGGAAGAGCTGGAACAGATATTATATGCAGGTACAGCTCAATGACTTCAACTGGAAGAGGATAAACTTTTACATTTCCTTGTAATTAATTACACAACAGACAGGTAGCAATCTGTATACTTGTTGCAGATCACAGAGGACATTTTTGAGTGTAATGCAGCTGATCAGTGCTTTCAATTTTCATACGTCTGATGCCCCCATAGGATATCTATTGGGTGACAAACCTTTCATCACACACATATGTTAATTAAATAATCCTGTGATCATTTATCCATGCTGTCTGTGAAAGCTCAAAGCCTTCTTATGATCTCCACAAGATCTTGATAGAAATGTATGTTTACTTAGGTGATTCTGCGATCATCTATTCTATCTCTGGGAGCCTGAAGCTGTATAGATAGCATCAATTAGGCCCAGACTAAGCAATACAGTTAGCAGGTAATTAGAAGCAGAACTCTCTGAAACATTAAATACATATAACTGTCAAATCACAAATTCTCCTCACTTTGAATTTTGTAAATTGGTTTACTATTGTTTGAGGCTGGTCATTAGGAGGTACATATAAGCTTCATTTGCAAATATGGTTGTGCTTTGATGAAACTCCAGGAAATACATATTCCCCTGTGTGATTTGATCTTCAGCCTTCAAAGGCTGCTACTTTAATCTGGATTGGTATTGCCATTAATTTTTTGATGATTTTTTCCAAGGTAGGAGGAGCCATCTGACTTGTTTAGGGCCATATATTGATGATCCTATAGCACAACAGTTATGCAGCATTTTGAGCATCAACACATTTCACCTACTGTAGCAGTAGCCTGTCATCTAAATAGAGGAGCCCTTCATCCCACTACTCCCCAGTTTAGACTATGAGGTGTTGATTTGTAAATATTTAGAAATACTAACAACAGATCTGAAATGTAACTAGGGTGAAGAAAAGTCAATTTCCATACTACAAGTCCCAGAATCCCTCAGCCAAGGCAGCCACTGGCTGTGCTGGTCAGTAACCCAGTACCATTTCCATCGTTGCATGGGTTCAGGTTGAGTTACTGGCTTGCTAATGCTAAGGATTCCCAGTGTCATGTAGTGGGTAGAGCGATGTACTATGAAACTGAGGAACAGAGTTCTGATCCCACTTGGCCATGGAAACTCATTGGGGGATTAAACTAGTAAAACCACTCCTTAAATATCTCACTTACTTTGAAAGCCCTGTTGGGGTTACTCACTATATGTCAGTTCTACCTTGATGGCACAGGACACACAATGCTAATTGGTGTGTTTATGGCTGAGGCAAGTTTAGATCATGGACTTAATTAAAATCAGAGTTGAGGCAGGTTTTCTGTTTCTTTCTGTTTGTATAATCAATCATTCGGGCAAATAAATCAAATGAGTATGTGGGATATGAAATATTAGATCAAGGACTGTGTAAAACATGCAAAATGTTTTCGCAGATCTGTACTCATTTGCATGTTTGGAGTGAAAACAGATGGAGTGCAATCTACTTGTACACAAACCAGGTTCACGCCAAACACCAGAGGCTGAATGTCAAGGGTTTCCTTCTATAAAATATCAGTTGAGAGTTCATGGGATGTAACAGAGAGATGGCTAGACTTAGATGGGAAAGACCTGGATTTCATTGCCTGCTTGGAACCAATATGCCTTAGTTAGGCCTGTTGCAATCTCGTCTTGAATCCATTACAAGCTGTCAGTGAAGACACAAGGGCTCGTGTGAGGAAAGAATTTAAGAACCATATATGTCACTTTAAGTTGCTTGGAGTGTGGAATGAAATGCCAATATAATTAACATAAAATATTTCAGAAAAGAAAGGACATAACCTTTCTCCCTCGTAACTATAGAAGGTATGTGGGACTTTAAAATGTCACAAATTCTTCCTTATTGTCGAACAGGAATGTTTCTCTTTAGGGTTTCAGCCAGCTCACAAAGCAATATTTTTCTTCAGGATGCCATAAACCCTTAGAGGCTGAGGAAAGCCAATTCATTCCCCTCTGCTTTGACTTTCCATTTTTTCTTTTCCAACTGACACTTAGCTTTCCATGTCTCCATATAGCATTCTTTTTAAAACTATCTTTTATTTTAGTTGTGGTTCTGTACTCCTACATCCCTTGACTTTCACTCACTTATGAGGATACTTCCACCCGGTGATCTGTTTTGCATGTTAATCCTGTTTACTAGGGACACAGTATTCACTTTTATTGCAGAATATAACAATACTAGATCCCTAGATATGCATATCCACTGCTGCCTGAACCTGTTTATTTGTTAATTAATTGTTACATTTATATTCCAGATTTTCTCCAGGAAACTCCATACGGCATTCATAGGTTTTCTCCTCTCCATTTTGTCTCCACAACCTCTTTTTCAGTGATAGGTGAGACTGACAGTTACTGGCCCAAGATCAATTAATTTCATGGCTCTGTGGAAGATTTGAACTATGATTTGTCAAGATCCAACTGAAGAATTTAAGATCTACATCCAATTAGTTGTCATATACCTCATGACACACACCAGAGAAGCATAGTATTTCAAATATCAAGTTTACACATACCATCAAGGCCATTATGGTGGTGGCTATAATTTCTCTTTCCCAAAATACTTAATGACGAATGGCCAGGGGGAGCAAGCAAACGCTTTGCCATCGAACTCTGAAGGCTTGGTGTTGATTTGATTATATTGGGTTTCATTGCAGGATGAATTTCTGTAAAAGATCATCATCATCATCATCATCATCATCATCATCATCATCATCATGAAGAATTTTGTAATTATTTCATATAATCATTACCATCATCAACACCTTGAAGAGATATAGTACAAAGGGGCAAATAATCATACGGCAGATAGAAAAATAGGAACATACTCTGTAGTTTGCTTGAATTTAACTGTTGCTATGATGAGAAAAACTGCTCAGGCCAATCCCTGTGTCAAATGTAGTTAAAAACCATGATGTAGGCACATCAAGCCAAAATTTTACTGGGGGAAACCTTGCACAGATAAGGGCAGCCACACAGCCTGTCCGCCTCACATGCTGTTCATCAGATGACCTAGTGTGTAAATAGTTGTAGGGCTGCTTCCTTGACTTAAGGAAGCAAAGGAATATGACAGACAGCAGTGCAGGTGGAGTCAGCTAAGTGATTGCCTGTTTATGCTTCACAAAATCAGGATTCTGGCCCTTGAAGCTAGTATTTTTCAGAATTTGCTTATCTGAAACACTTATGTTGCTTCAGCACATGCAAATATTTTGGAAAATGCATGCATATTTAAAGAGATGTTTACAGTACAGCATTTTTAGTTCTCAGGCAGGTACACTGCAGACACAGAGCTGCTTAGCTCTTTACTAGAGCCATATGTTTTCATGAAGAAAGACAGTTTTTGGTTGCAGGCACCTCCAGGTATCCAGAATTTTGGGATCTACTTTTTACAAGAAATCACTACTCTCACTTGCCCCCCACCTCATTAACCCATTTTCATTACTTGTTACTCACTTCTATACATTGTTTTTTTCTTTGCTTTTTGTTCTTTTCTCTTATTTTGATTAATCCAATTAGAAAAGTAAATGGCCTAAAATCTGAGGAGAAAAATCCCCTTCACATGGCCTTAGTACAACTTTTTGGCCAAACAATAGGAATGAGTAAGCAATACTTGTTACATTTTTTTTAAAAAAATTATCTGTTGTTACACTACTTTGAAAAAGGAATATCACTAAACCCCCTTCTTCCACAAAACAAATGGCATATTATGGAAATTAAGTCTGCTTTTCTTACTGCCTTCATTTGGATCCCTCCTTTGGAGGTATCGGTGTGGTGCGGAAATGTTGTGTTGAAACATAAATTACCTTCTTAAATGGACAGTGTGCTTCCTTTTAGAGATCTCTTGCATCTTTCCTGTACGGAAATTCTGTTATTAACTGTTACTTTTTTTCTGTTTTCCTTGTTAAAATCAGGTCTTGATGATATATTTTTAAAACTTAAATCCCATGTGGCTTATTTTCCTGAGCAAAGTTTATTCTCCTGCTGTTGAAACATGGTTGACAGCCAGGGTGTCTGGTTCTTCTCATAGAAGACGGAGCTACACATGGATCAAAGCACAGGGTACTGATGACTCGCTACAGGCTGAGGGCTAAATCCAATTGTTAGTCACCACATAAGACTAACTGGGTCAACAGAACTTACATTAGTGTTGACTTTAGAATTCCTATTCACTGAATGGATCTCCTCTAGTTGAGTGTAGGTTGGATTTAGCATTGTGAGTTTAATTGTTCTACTGTACAAAACACTGGTCATGGGGAGGGAAGAAAGAAAAAAGAAACACTTCACATGGGGGGGGGAACCCATTCGTGACATTGACAGGTCCTCACACAGCTCTTGACATGTTTGCCTTTCACTTGGCCTGGAAATGAGATGCACAGGCATTTTTAAAATCTCTCATAGCATCTCTAACCCTTACTTGCATCCTGTCCAACGTGCATGAATGCCCTCTGTCTTGATAGGAATGCTTAAGCACCATCATCCTATGATACTTTTGGCTCAATTAACACTCACCCAAATATCCAATGATACACGATAATGATTTTCTAGTGCTTTTAATCTTCAAAGGATTTCCCACAAATTCACAGTGCCTGTCAGCATCTGGAGAATTGAAAAGAGAGCATTACTTTGGGATGGGTAGGAAAATGATGGCCATGGTTTTCAAAGTCTCTTCTAGTATATCAAGGACAGATCACACTTTAAGGCAAATGTGTATTTCCTCCGCTTATTGTGCTGTCTCTCTCATCATGCAAATCTTCCAGTGTTACCAGCCTAACACATTAGGTATCTCATCATCATCTTAGAACTGTAGAGCTGGAAGGGACCCTGTGGATCATTGAGTCCAGCCCTCAGTAAGGAGGAACAGCAGTGAATTGAATTCCCAACCTCTGGCCCTGGAGCCAGAGACCTAAACCACTGAGAGATCCAGTAGCAAAGCCACATTATCTTCCAACTGACCAACGGCAAAACAAAACATTTACCAAATGCATCCTGGAGCTAGTGCATATTATAATAAACAGACATTATTTCTCTCTTAAGCATGCACTGTTTCTAGATGAGGAATCAGTGTCTCTTCTATGAGACAGTCATTTCTCTAGTAATCTGCCATGATACTCAATGAAATGAGCAAGACAAGTGGCCAGGAACAATCTACAGTACTACAGGACAAAGTCAAATGGGAAAATTAGAGAGCACTGTTCTTTGTCATCTGTACCTCCCAACTGAGATCACTCACTCACTCATCAATAACCTAGATTGCATTCTAGGCTGCAATATATCCCCCTCTCAGGTTTTGAGCAACAGGCCTGTGCTTGCTTACAAACAGCCCCCAAGCCGCAACCCCACGGCTAATAAATTATGGATATGAAGAAAGGAACAAGCCCCTGCTACTGATCGATATGCTATGGCCCCAAGTCTACCCTAGCAGCACTATGATGGGTCCCACTCATGTCACCTACAGTATCAGAGACTCATTTATTCATCTGCCATTCTTTGCCAGCACTGCCTCTCTCAGTACTACCTAGGACAATCCAGAAAATCTGTAGGCAGCAGAATATATTGACACAAATCTGACAACAGAAATGGCAACAAACAAAATTTTTGTGTTCCAGGATGCTTCACCAATTATCTTAAACTGACAATTGTAGAAAAAAAGAGAAAGAAATACAAAGGGAGACATGAGATTTTGAGAAAGGCAGCTGAAATAGGTCTTACCCATAAATTCCAGTGTGCAGGTAAAGGCTTTCTATCTATCTATCTATCCTAATGAACTTGCACATAAATCTGTGGATAAATGCTGCCCTCCATGTATCTGGGGAAGTGAATTGCAATATATGAAAGCTAACATTGGAATAAGTCTGTTAGTCTTTAAGGTATTTTGTTTTTCTTATGCATGTAGTCCATCCCAAGTTTTACAATTTTAATTTTTTTTAAAAAGACTCAAAGTGTCCCTACCTGCTCTGTAGAGGGCGTTAGAGGCACATTTTATCCCATTTCAGGCCCTTCAGCATACCTCTCATGCCATACCTCAAAACTGTTCATTTTTTAAAAAAAATTGCCACTGAGGATACAATTGAGTTTTTTTCCTCGATAAAAGTGAAAAGCCTTTTAAACAGAAAAATAATTTTGGAGGACAGAAAGGATATCATTTTGGAGGACATAAAGGGTGTGGCCACTGAGTTCAGTGGGATCAGCATATGTGGGTCTTGATCCTCTGGAGTTTGCCATCCGCTGTGTTGAGGATCATATGCTGCAGGTGCTACTTGACTGCAAAAGGGTGGCTTCCTTCCTATCAGAGGCAACAGAACCTATGTCCAGCCCATGTGCATCACTTTGGAAGAGTTGTACCATTCACAGAACTTGGTAGAAAAGGTAGAGATGTTTAGTAGCCCTTAACTGGAACATCCAAGACATTCTGCTGCCTAAGGCAAAGATCTTCTCCTGCGCCCTCCCCATTCCACCAGATGACTGGACTGGCAGTTGAAGTTTCTTTCAATACTAACAGGGGAGCATTCTGCACTGTACCAAATGGCAACAAGCTAGAGGGAATGTAAGGCAAGCTACATGGTGCATATAACTCTCCATACACTATAATTCCCATGCAAGAATAGATTTTCCAAGCTCTGGCCTTCCAAAATGTTGCCACTGCTCTATGCTCCTCCTTTGCTGTGATACCTCTCTCTGCCAAATGATAGGGCTGTCCTCTCCTACAATATTAATAGCAAGTCATATCACTGTGTGCTACAGCAGTTACATTATCCTTCCCCACACCAGCATTGTCCAGCTGTCTTTGATTACAACCCCATGTTGGCTAAGAATGATGGGACAGCAAGACTGCAAAGGAATACTAGATAGATCTGCTCTATGGTAGTGCTTCAGATAATGTTGAACTAGCACTCCAATCATTCTCAGTCATTGTCTGTACTGGCTGAGGCTGATGGGAGTTAGAATCCATCAGCATACAGAGGACCACATGTGCACCACTCCTGTTCTAAACAATTAAAGAAAAATAGGCAGCAAGAGTTCTTTCTCATTAAATTTGTATAAAGTTACACTGCATGATTGGGAAAATGCTTTTTCCTGTCTATATTTCAAGTAATTACATGTTATGCTGTCCTTAAATAAAAGTATGCATTTCTTAATACTCCAGTTCCTGGAAATATTATGCCAGTTTAATTACTGGTTACAATTCAGCTGAGCTGAACAGTAATAAGTGCCAAAAAGTTTAAACGACAAATAATGAAGCACCCTCTGGATTCTCTTCTATTTAATTATCCTTTCTCAACCTGATGCCCTTCAAATGTGTATGATTACAGTTACAGTGATCCTACTGGCAGGACATGATGGGTGTTGTGGTTGAAGACAGAGACAGGAACAGGCTGTGGATTTCTGTTCTTAATCAATAGTATCTAAAATTCTATAACGTTGGCCGGATTATGCCCCCTTTTGTGCAAGCTATATGTGTATATAAAACTGTAATTTTAAGTGTATTCAGAAGACTTATGTAAGGGAGGTTTTATTTCATTAAATATTGGCTAAATACTTAACTGATTCCCTAAAAGAGACAATGGGCTTGAGCCTGCAAGCAGGGAGGCTGAGGACAGGAAATTTTGGAGACTCATTCGTACAGTTGCCATTAGGCAGAAGTGACTTGATTGCACATAACAACAACAGACTGAATACGCATCTTCCTGGATATAGGGGAAGAATTATAATACTATTAGATAGCAGATAACTAAATTTAGAAAAGGTTCAGAACAGGGAAAGGAAAGGAAAGCTGAGGAAATTATCTCAATATTTCTTCCACTTGAAAGATTCTGCACAAATACCAAACTAACAAGGATAACATATGGAACAACAACAGCAACAAAAAGAATTATGATGTTTTTACTACCTGATTCTGTATTATTTCGTATGTTGATATCTGCCCTTTCCCTCCCCTTTTCCTTTGATATATTCTAATATACATCAAAGTGATGTATACGATCCCCTCATTTTAGCTCACCTTGCGAAATAAGCTTGGCTGACAAATAGTGACTGGCCCAAGGCCACTCAGCGAGCTTAATTGGAATATGAACCCAGGTCTCCTGAATCTTAACTTTCACCCTATTCTTGCTCTCCATGTGTGTTCATTCAGAAGAAACTCCTACCAAATTTATATCCCAAATGAGTCAGCATTAAGATTGCCAGGTCAGCAACACCCCACCCCCTCTGATTTCAGGACTAAAACGAACGTCTTTGGGCAGGTTCTTCTGATGCTCTGGGGCAGTTTTGTCAACCAGCTTGACATCTCAGAAACCAGGCAAGCAAGGATTGAAGGGCACTGAGCTGCTTCTGGCCCAGCTAACTGTGGAAATGGTCATGAGTGGAATCCACACATATGGACCTTTAAAAAACGTGCTTAACTAAACAGTCTGTCAACGAAGACTGGGGGATGACCTAGTTATTAATCAATTACAGAAATAGCAAAATGTGCTTAGTTGATGGCTGCGACCATCCCTGGTTAAAGTCATATCCCGGGGGGAGGGCTTAGCTACAGTTTCCCCGAAAATAAGACAGGGCCTTATATTACTTTTTGGTCCAAAAAAAGCAGTAGTGCTTATTTTCAGGGGATGTTTTTTTTTTCATGTACAACAATCTACGTTTATTCAAATACAGTCATGTCATCTTCTGGTTGCTGCACTATGGTGGAGGGCAGGGTTTCACTTAACTAGGGCTTATTTTTGAGGTAGGGCTTATATTATGAACACCCTGAAAAATCATACTAGGGCTTATTTTCAGGTTAGGTCTTATTTTCAGGGAAACATGATGTAGCTCATGTAACATGTGGGAAGGACTCATAACCAGCTGATGAGGTTTTTTTCCTGGCCTTTCTCTGTTTTGTGCAACAAAAATGTTCATGAGTTGCAATACAAATGCTCTGTACCCTGCCTTGCTTCAAAAACCACAATGTCCCCAGAATATGTGAAATTTCTTCTTCCCCCTTTCTATTTTCCTGGCTTTCTGGTGTGGTTATAGTGACATGTAGTCTAGTCACTTTAACGGCACTTCTGTGAATCAGTCCTATATTTTAACACCCCTGCTCAGGTCTTGAAAATTCACAAGTGTGGTTTCCTTTACTGAATTAATCCAACTCACATTTTGCCTTCCTCTTACCCTCCTGCTTTCCTAGCATTACTGTCTTTTCCACTGAGTCTTGTCACAATACAGATTTAAAAACAAAACATACAGCTCTGTGCAGAGCCAGTGAATCTTGGCACCACTTGAAGAAATGGGTGGATATAGATGTCCAGACTTTAAAGCCACCTCACAGAAATCTCAGTCTTTTCCTCTCCTCCAGCATCTCTCACTGTGAGATTTGTTTCCCATCCTGGAAATTCATGGAGACATATCAATTCCCTGAGATTTGAGCCAGCACTTTTGAGACCTGGCAATCCTAGAATGCACATGAGGCTCTAATATTTCAGTGTTTTAAATTCCACATTAAAAAGATATTAAGGCTTGAGAGGCTGACGTAGAAGCTATATTTGCCTGAATGACATGTAACACTTAAGTACAAGTCTGGACAGCATATTCCTTTCCTTTTAAAATGTATCATTTAT